TTTTTTGTTGTTGTTTTTTTTCCAGTACCAGGAATCGAATTCACGACCTTGCGCTTGCCAGGCAGGCGCTGTGCCGCTGAGCTAAATCCCCAGCCCCTGCTTTGTGTTCATTTTAATGTTGTGTCTCCCATGTTGTGTTGCAATTTATTTATTTATGTCTGACTCTCAGTAGATTGAGATTTTTCAGAGTAAAGTCTTCTGTTTTATTTATCTTTGAACATCAGAGCCTAACACATAGGTACTCAATAAATGTTTGATGAATGTGTGAAGACATGTTTCAGGTAGAAAGTGGACCCACGTGACCAACTAAGTTTCCGTCTAGTTTTGCTACTTAAGATTCCATAAAAGGTCTAGAAATAACTAGAGAATGACACAGGAAGAAATATTTAGGATGTAAAAGTGTGACGTTGAAGGATAGTTACCGATTTGTTAAGCACATATTAACATTCAAGAGTGTACTTTCAAAAGGGAAATTGTTCAGTTGGGTTAATTGAGTTTATGTATAAGAAGGGAGGTTATGATTTGTCAAGTGAGAAGTAATTTTTCTGGCTAAGGAGTGATAACAGTTGAAATGAATCTCTCAAAAGTCGGAAATTTGGCAGAGGAATATTGTGGCTAAACAAATTCATTAGAGCAGAAAAGTACTAAAAACATTTTGAGAAGTGTGGTTAAATCATGGAAAACCAGACTCCCTTATTAAGATGCCAGAAACTCCTGCAACAGAAGGTAAAAGTTTTGCTTTGAAAAGGAGCTTGAAGCTACATCTTCAGCAGGGGCAAAGGAGGACCATTTACAAACAGAATAGCTATATTTTCTGAGAAAAGGTGTTAACGGATAACAGAGGTCATAAACACGAAGGGTGACAAAGAAGTAGTGAAAGGAAAGACACATGACTAAAGTTGATTTAATAAAGACCAAGTGACTTACACTGAGAGAAGAGAGAGGATCCAAAACAACATTCCTAAGTAAGAAACTGACAAAAAGATGGCAAAAGTGAAGCAAGCAACATAAGAAGCCTAGTCTTATGGTGGTCCTTGAGAGAGCTTACTAACAAAGTGATAAACTAGAGTTTCCCTAAGTAGTAGGAGTCAGCTTCACCTGGGGCAATATGGAGTGGCAACTAATGTGTTCCATTTCTCTGGTTACTGACAGAATGTCCAAGACAGAAGATAGATTCTCCTGGTGGAGTGAGTCTAAGAATAGTTGCCTTACTATGGAAACTTTCTTACAGTGTAGTGGCATGGGAAAAGTTGCTCTTAAAGAGTCAAACACACCTGAGTTAGAATATCTAACTTATTAGTTGCCTGACCTTTAGTAAAATACTTCATATATTTAAGACATTAATGAGGAATTCCGTCTCTTCTCTTTTTTTTTTTTTTTAAGTTTTTTTCCAGTACCGGGGATTGAACTCATGACCTTGCGCTTGCTGGGCAGGCGCTGTGCCACTGAGCTAAATCCCCAGCCCCTCTTCTCATAATTCATATTTTCTGATATCTGGGTTGCTCATTTCATTTTCCTGTGTATATTTTCTCTATTTTCCGTTTCTTTACTGTTTTTCTATCCTGTTTCCTAAGATATTTTATTATCTCTATTCCAAACCCTTTTATTGAGGTTTTAATTCCTCTTGTCATATTTTTAATTCCCAAGAGCTCTTTTATTTTCTCAATAGTCTTTAAAATTTCCTCTTTTTGTTTTATGGTTGCAATATCTCCTCGAATCTCTTCGAGGATGGCAATGATAGATTCTCTTTTTGTAAAGTGTTTTTCTGAGTTTGGGGAATCTTTCCTGGGAGAATAGACCTGCAGTATTCTGCTGGTGTCGGGCAAGGGAATTTATTGGGCTTTGCAGAGTAGGGGAAGGAATTTATAGGTCTATCACCTCCTTAGGCTGACTTTAAATCAGCCTTCAGGCTTATGCCTACTTACAGAAAGACCTGGCATCACAAAACCGTGAACCTGCTTAGAGTGCTGTGGTATAAACTCAGGTGCCTGTGCGTTTTCCCTAATGACAACTGGTGATGCAGGTTTCTCAGTTTTGCTAACTCAGTTACTATTCGTCCAACTGCGTCTAGTTCTAACGTTCACTGCTGATGTCTTCTCTCCCGTATTCCTCAACCTTGTGTACTTCAGGCCTTTTAGAATTCCTTTACTATGATTTTATCAGGGTGTTGAGGAGGGAGCAGAGGTAAATGTATGAGTTCAATCTGCGGACTTTAACCCAAATCCTCTTACTTCTTCATATCTTTTATATCCATCCCTTTAGATTTTAGCTATCATCACATTAAATAGAACCTTACCACTTTATATCTGGACTCCTTTCCTGTCTTCTCCCATAAGTCTGTCTTCAACAATGCTGTAGGTGTATCTTTCTGCAGACTTGCACTGTGTATCACAACTTTGATTGTAAGAACTCTCCATTTGCATCTTGACACTGACAGGATAAAGTCTACATTTCCTAACCTGACATTCAAAGCCTTCTACAATTTAAACTTTGCCCACTTTTTTTCCAATCCCATTTTTAGGCATCCAAAATACTGATATCCATCCCCATTCCCATCTGCACCCCCACCTGTAGCTGTGGTTGTCACACTTGTCTGGCACAACTAGGGCCACAGTAGCTAGACTTGCTTGGTGATGTAACCAACAGACTTAGCAGTCCATCTTGACTTTTCTTTTTTTTGTTGTTGTTGCTGTTTTTGATACAAAGTCTTGTTCTATAGTCCAGGCTGGCCTTGAGCTTGTGATTCTCCTGCTTCAACCTCCTGAGTGCTGGGATTACAGCTGTGTACTACCCTGAGTGGCTCAATCTGTTGACTTTAGGTGACTAACTTCAAACTCCTTAAGTGAATACTTGTCTGACTTGAGGCATCTTATAGCCCATTTCAATCTAGGATTTAAAAAAACTATTTTTCATATATGCTTTTTATTGATTGCATGTACTATTTTGCATATTGAATTTTTCCATGCCATATTACTTCGTTACTCCATTACTTATTTTCTGCTAGACTCTGAAGGGACAAAGATAAGTGGAATTACTACATCCCATAATAAATAGCTATCCTGCTATATGATATCAAGCTTAAACCTCAGCTTAGTGACTGGCTTACCCATTGTGATTTAATGTTCTTCTAGAATTTAACTTCATGATATATTATAACATTTCCATCAAAAGAATATTCTGATATTCATATCATATATAATTATAATATTTAGGTTGGAAGGATACTGTTTTCTAATGACATTCCCCACCTTCTCCCAGAATGGTCTTTCCTGACATCTTCATTGTGAATGTAATTTTTTGGATGACAGGATCATCAGCTGCCATCTCCTCTGGAACTGCACTACGTATGTTGGAGACATGGTTTGGAATTTCAGTGCCACTAAAACTTTTTGGTGCATACCTTGGACACAGGAAAAAGGTAAGATTTAAAACACTGCTTTTGAGCATTAAGTGATGCCTGAACTAATATCTTACTGTGTATACACCATGCATGGAATACAAAACCTACAGAGAATAATCATTTTGGAATTAAAGATATAAAAAATAAAAATACTAACACTTTCAAAGATACCATTGAATACATTTCTTACATTATAGACTATTTGTTTTTCTTTTATCTCTGGTGGATAAAATTAAAAGGCCTGATATCAACCAACTTGGAAAAGGAATAGGCATATACAGTGGGAGTAGAAAGCCAAGATATCATCTAAGAAACGTGGCCATTCAGCATGCAGGCTTGAAGTTAGCCTGTCCTACACATAGGGGAAAGGAACAGGACAACAGAAGACTAAATGAGGACACAGTGGAAGTGGAATGTGTAAGATATAGCATGACATCGCAGGGGAAAATCATACAGGATAAAATAGAAAGGAGAGTTCCACGGGGTGGTGAAGAGGAGGAGGGCAAGGGAGGAAAAAATTTGAAAATTATGGACAAATTCTGAGATAAATTCCTGGCCAAATTCTAGGAGAGAACTTTTTGACAGTGTAGATTATTTCATATTTGGATAGTTATAGTAAATCTTATTGGTGTTCCCTTGGCATTTATCAAAAAGGGTAAATATTGAACAGCAGTGATTGATACTCTAAGTAGGCATCAATCACCTTGGGGTGGAGGATCAAACCTCCTTAACCCACTCTTCCTGGAAAGTCCTTGTCCATCCCATGTGCACTTGCTAGGTGACTTGTTTCCCCCTTTGATCCCCATGTAATCAATATTACCCTGGTGACTGTACTTGTTATAATCTTATTGGTTGACCATAGTTTTGTCCCATCTCACACCCATCCTATGATTTGCCATTGGATCAATATTACCTAAGTGTGTACTTGTAATCTTATTAATGGGTTATAGTTCTGTCCCACCTTCAGCCCGCTTTACCTCACGGCTTTGCTCAATAAAACACCCTTGTGGAGCGGGGTTGATGGGCAACCCACTTTCTGGGCCCCTTTCTGTCCCTCTCATACAGAACCTTTTTTTCTCTCAATAAATTCTTCCTACTCCTAGTAAGAAAAAAAAAGGATAAGTGTCAATTTTATTCATTGCCCAGCTATGTGCTGTCTGTTACGGTGACCACTAGCCACACGTGACTATGGAGCACCTGAAATATGGCTACTCCTTGTTGAATGGGCCGTAAGTATGAAATACACAGATTTCAGCATTTAGAATGATAACAAAAATAATGAAATATATCTGGCTGATAATTTTATATTGTTCACCAGTTTAAATGATAGACATGTTCAGTCAAGCAAAACACATCCTTAAATTATTTTGGCCAGTTCCTTTTAGTTTTTAATGTGGTTACTGAAAAATTTCAAACTATACATGTGGCCTGCATTTTATTTCTGTTGAACAGGGCTGATCTAGTCCCTGCTTATGTCTCGTCTCATTCTCTTTGCTGCTTCTTTTATTTTCCAGTGGTTTAAATGCCCAGTTCACACAAACTAGATCCCGCATCAGATTCCGCAACAGAGCTTCTTTATGAAGGCATTTTTTAGCATGATAGTTGGTGGCATTTTACCTTTGGGCTGTATTGTTACTCAACTCCTTTTCATTCTAAACAGTATTTGGTGAGTACTCTACATTCCTAAAAGTTTTAATTAAAAAAAATTACATAATAATTGTATACACTATGGGGTACAGTGTGATAGCTGAGTACTTGTATGTAGTGTTTAATGATCAATTCACGGAGGGTGGCTACAAAGTATAGTTAAGTGTTCTACAGCACAGTAAGATGGCTACAATTTACAATAATTTATTATATATTTTATAAAAAACTACGAGGGAGGAATTCAGATTTTATTTTTATTTATTTATTTATTTTGCAGTGCTGGGGATCAAAACTACAGCCTCATTCATGCTGCTCACATCCCTTACTTTTTTTTTTTTTTTTTCTGGTACCGGGAACCAAACACATGACCTTGCGCTTGCCAGGCAGGTGCTGTGCTGCTGAGCTAAATCCCCTGCCCCCTCACATCCCTTACTATTGAGCTATGTTCTCAGCCCATAAAGTTTTATTTTTTATTTTTTTATTTTTTTGTCTTTTTGAGACAGCGTCTTGCTATGCAGTTCAGGATGGACTTGAGCTCACTTTGTAGTCTAGGCTGGTCTCAAACTCACAATGATCCTCCTGTCTCAGCCTCCCGAGTGCTGTAAAGTTTTAATTTTGATAAACTAATGTTTCTATATTTCAAGGAGGATGCATTCTGATATGATGATACTTCATTTACCCTTTACCTCTCCTTTACCTAGGAAATAGCAATCTGGTGAAAATGAATGCTGTAGAGAACAGAGGCTTAGTTCACAACTTTTTAAAGTGACTTTTTCATAGAAATTTCTCCTCATATTTTCTTTTTTAAATGTGATGACCTGCTGGGCATGGTGGTGCATGTCTGTAGTCCCAGCACTTGGGAGGCTGAGGCAGGAGAATCTCCATGAGTTTGAGGCAAGCTTGAGCTACATAGTGAGTTCAAGGCCAGCCTGAGCTACACAGAGAAACTCTGTCTCAAAAAAACCAAAAATAAAATAAAATAAATGTAATTATCTTTTGTTAAGCCTTTCTGATGGCAGTTGGTTTTAACGTGAGCTTTTGTGGGCATTGGGGGTATGCGATCCCTCGGGTGGGAGATACTTAAAGATGGGAAAAGGCAGCTCTGGGTTTCCTGTTTCTCACAATGGCCTTCCACGGGTGGTTGCATTAGAATTCCTCTGCAGAAACAACTTGGAGACTATTGGTGTCGGGTCTTCATGTGTTCTGAGCAGTAGGTGATGGTTTCCTGTCTTCCTTTCTCTAAACTCTTCTATTGTCACAATGCTTGCACCTCGTATGCTTCCTCTTTTTATTTGCTACTTTTAATCCATTGTGGCTTAAGACTTGTAGTAAGAGTTAGAAATACTTGCAAAGCGAGGAACAGTGCTCACTGATTGAAGCGCAGCAGATTTAGTGTCCTGGCTTTGTTGCGGCCTTTTCAGTTGCTCTGCCTGCCTTCTTATTTCCTGATTCTTGACCACATTCTGGTTTCGGGAGCTGGCCATTTGGGGTGCCACTACACAAGGATTTTTAGAGATGGACAAAGACATCATAAAGTACGGTCAAGTGCAGTTGCCAACTGTGTTTTTTTTAAATGACACTTATATCCCTAAGCAATCTTTCAGACAAAACTTCAAAGTCGTCAAAAATTTGATTACATCACGCACACTAAATATGCACTTTTTAAACAGCATAGTGACAAATTTGTTTGAAAGATAAACAATAAAATCTGTTTCCTGGTCAGCAACTAAATATTCCACACACTGCAGAATAGATTATAGTAGCCATATTTCCCAGATGTTTTTGATAGGAAAGTCATTTAAGTGAAAATGAGAAGGTTCTTTAGATGAAGTAATTTTCATAGCAGTGAAAAGCAATGTGTACAACTTGTATAGATTTACACAAAAGCATACTATGTACAAGTTTGTATACTGTTATCTACAGAGATGAGTCTCCTCAACTTTGTCCCTCACCCTCACCCCAGGTATGAATTTTATCTTTTTTTTTTTTTGGTGCTGGGAATCGAACTCAGGATCTTGCACTTTCCAGGCAGGCACTTGTGCCACTGAGCTAGATCCCCAGCCTGTATCCCAGGTATACATTTTAAATGGACTGTTGATCAGTTCATTTTCTCCTCATCTCCACAAGCATTTTTTTGTTTTTAATTCTTTTGCAGTGCTCTTGTTTGAACCCCAGCACATGTGAGGCAAGTAACTACTGAGCCACATTCCCAGCCTCTATTTATTCTTTAAATTTGAGACAAGGTCTCATTAAATAGCTCAGGCAGGCCTCCAACTTGCCATCCTCCTGCCTCAGCATCCCAGGTAGCTGCAATTACAGGTGTATGTCACCACAGCCAGCTTCCAGAAGGCTTTTAATATGTATATTGCTCATCCCAATTAGTTACCTCAGCTGTATAATAATAAAGGGAATTACTTCACTCCTTCAAAATTTGATCTAAAGATAATCCACACATAATTTTCTAAAAGATGTGTGTCTGAAAGTATATTTAATAGAATTTTATGTGCTGTGATATGAAGACATTTGTATAGGCTGCATGTCAATAACCTTTGTTTTTTTATTTTAAAAATAAAAGGAGGAAAACATTAACAGACAGACAACCTTTTACAAAATACAAAAGAACAATACAGACAGCACAGAGTTACAAACAAAGTGGTAGGAAATTAACAATGCTTGTTGTATTACATATTGATATCTTCAGAGTGGTTTCTCATGAAAACAGATAGAGACATGCAATATTGAGCAATCAAGGACTCACTGATGATTTCTTTCAGCAAAGAAATAGAAGACAGTAGAACAACTATGTTAACTATCCTGTATATACATACATACAAAATTTCTCCTTCTTTCCCTTCTCTTTTCCCACATCCCAGTTGCCCTTTTCCCTTGAGTGTTTTCCTATCATTTCACAATGTCTATCATACCTCCTAGTTTACATTAACTCTTTCAGGTTTTACACTAGTGAGACAATGTGGTACTTGCACATGTAGGTCTGATTTATTTCACTTATGAGTATGGTCTCTAGTTGTGACCATTTACCTATAAAGGCCTCGAGTTTATCTTTCCTTATAGCTGAGTAATATTCCATTATATAAAAGTACCACAATTTTCTTATCCAATCCTCGATGGATGGACATTTGTGTTGCTTCTATAATGTAGCAATTACAAATTGTGCTGCTATGAACATAGGTGCACATATATTGCTGTGATATGATGTTTATAGATCTTCTGGGAAAATACACAGCAGGGGGATAGCTGGGTTGAATGGGACCTCTAGACCTAGTTTTTGGAGGAATCTCCAAACTGATTTCCACAGTGGTTTCACCAGTCTGCATTCTCACCAGCAGTGGAGAAGAGTTCCTATTTCTCTACAGCCTCGCCAGCATTTGTTATTGGTTGATTTCTTAATGCTAGCCATTCTTACTGGGGTAAGGTGGAATCTCAGTGTTGTTTTAATTTGCATTTCTCGAATGACTAATGATGTTGAACATTTTCTCATGTATTTATTTGCCATTTGTATTTCCTTATCTGAGAAGTGTGTATTCATCTCAGCTGCCCATTTTTGGATCGGGTCTTTGAATTTGGGTGGGGGCTGATATTTGAAGGTAATGTGGTATTTGATTGTGTTTCCTGTAGTATAAGGTAGTTGCTGATATTTCTTGTATTTACAACTTTCCATTTCTAAAAAGAACGCATGTTTTAAAATCTTTATACAGAAAATTATAGATATTTATGTCTTAAGTGAGAACTTGGTCATATGAGCAGAGAATCATTGGGTACGTAGCAGGAATGGATCTGACTACAGAATAGATGGACCAAATCTGAAACTGTACAGGAAAGGAAGATTTTTTTAGTACTAGATAGATAGAGGTTTGGAATAGAGTTAAATGTTTAGAAGAAAACATTTAGAGAGTGTGTGAAAGTCTACAGATTTGGACTGATTTTTCTGTGTGTACTCTTCGAACTTGTTTTAAGCCTACTGTCTGTTTTCAGGTCTCACTTGATGTACTATATATTGGCTTCCTTTTCTTAGTCTTTATAATTCCTCTGATTACCTGTTCAGAAGCTACAGCTCTGCAGTGCTATTTGCATTGATGTACTCAGGTAAATACATAAGAAACTAATGCATCTTAAGCTTTTTATACTTGCATTTTTGGAATTAGAAGTCTCTGTGTAGAAAGGAATTGTGGTAAATGTTAACTGCATAATTTCTACAATTTGGGATTAGTTTATATTTCCTAAGGACACATTTTGATTTTGATGCAGATATCAAGTTAATGCCATTTTTTTATTTTAAGGAGGAAAAAAACCTAACAAAACAACGACAATGAAGACAAAAACAAAAACAACACAGAAACAACAAAGATGATACATGACCTATAAAGTTAATGCCATTTTGATGAGAAACTTAAATGAAATGATTTTTTTTTGGCTGGTTACTATAATTGCTGCATAATATTCAGTCAACATACAAAAATACAGGGATCTGATTTTACATCTAGACATGTGAACAGTCTTGTTCAGTGATGTTTACTTTTTAACAATTAAAATTTTCTTTGCAGCTTAGCCCAAGATTTTATTTTGTAGGTTGGAGAATATTGCTCTAGGCCTTTCCTCTTCCTCTCATTTATTGCTGTAAATAGTTCTTTTGCTCCATCCACATTTTTCTCTCCTTGACATCATTTCAGATGATTGAAGTGGTAGTGTAGTACATTGTTCTTGTAGGTCTCGTAAATTCATTTTATTTTGGTAGTTAAATATGGCTCTTCAAAGGTGACAGTGAAGAGTTGAGAGAAGATTCTGATATAGAGGTGGTTTTGGAGCATTTCTTCTTGAGCTGTAGATCTAAGGGTAAAAATACATAATTACGTATGCACTATATTTAGCTACTTGTGAGTTTTGCAGTGAATTTTGTCAGAGAGTCTGCAACAATTATTAATGAAAGATACATCAATATGCATATAATGAGTATGTTTCTGTTACTTATGAAATATTTTGGGGTCGTAAACATTGGTAATTCACTAGATGAACTCATGAGACTAAGGACATCAGTGTGCACTTGGCTAGGGTATATCACAGAGAAAGGGTACAGCAAGGTCAGCAAGAGAAAAAGACAGAGTTGGGGCCTGGAGAAATCAAGGCAAGCTTGCTATGCTGTCTCCCTCCCATGAGAAAGCCCACTGAGTGTGTTCTTTTCTCCAGCAGTGAAAAAAATACAGGAACAAATGTGCCATGTTTCTACCCATTTGAGGCTCAGCATCCGAAGTTTTTCGTGGGAGCTAGTGACACAAGCACCCTCTGCCTAGCAAGTACAAAAATTTCATATTCCTAAAAGGAAAGCAAGCATTCACCATAAATCACACTGTATAGTATAGATATAGCAAACCAATCTTAGCAGTCAGGGGGTGATTAAATGCCAAGTTCCCAGATGCAAGCCAAAGGCCCATCTTGCAAGTGGTTCCTACTACAGATAGTGGTCTTGCACTTGCTATGTGAATTCTTCTGCAGTGCCTATCTCTGGGATGCTCAGCTGCAGTGTCCTTACAGTAACCTTATCCTTAGTAAGATTCCATGGGTCATAGCTTACCCTTGTATCTGTGGCTCAGAAGGAAAATGTTTGAAAGAACACATGTATCAGCATCATCTTCTCCACCCTTTGTTGAGTAGTGACCTCAGCCATGCTCTCCATGGATCTTGAATCTAGCCAGTGAAAGCAAATTCCGTTAACCACATGACCTATCTTAACTTTCTTTATTAATTTTTCTTAACACTGGGCATCAGTAGACGCAGCAAACTCTAGCCACTGTAGGGAGCCAAGCTGAATGCTTCCCAAGGCTGTAACAGTGTTACGATAGTACGCATATATCAGAAGTCTGATCCCATAGGGCGTATGTGGTATCCCTGGAAACAAAGACTTTAAAATTGTCAGGGTGCCTCCAGCAGCACACACGTTATTTACTTTGTTAAATTTCTTAGAAACTTCCTTTTATTTTTAATCCATGATTGTGTGGAGTTTATCTTATATTCTTTGTCATTGCAATGATTGTTAACTCATTGATAGAATTTTACCGAAAAAGTCATTTGTTCTACTTCTTTCTGCAGGATTTTCATGGGTGGTGGAGAGCTTTTCTTACCAGTGGCTTGACAGTTGTGTATTTGCTATCATTACTTCTTCACCGAACTTCAAATCACAGATATTGCAAGCACCATTTTGTACATTGGGTACACCATGATGCTGGTGCTGATTTTCTTCTTTTTGACAGGTAACCACAGAATTGCTTAGCACATTTCAGAGTCTCTAAAGAGGCTTGCAGATAGCTATAATGTAATAAGCACAGATCAACCATTAGTGGAAGGAATAGGGAAGAAAGCCATCATGTTCATTTTTATGCTTTGGGCATAATAAAAGATTGCAAAGCCTGGGGAACTGAAGGAATTTACATACTTAGCTGTAAGCCTGTCCCTTGTGAATGTTTTTAAGCAGTAGGGATGTGTTCCAAAGCACATAAAGGGTTATGAGTAATCACCATTGGATAGTCTGCAAGCATAAAAATCAGCTGCCTTGAATAACTTTTAAATTATTAAAATTGGATTAATTATATATGTGGTCATGTAAGTAATTATATATGAAGGACAAGATGTATACCTGTCGGGATTACTCATTGGAGGGTATTATTTAGGTTCAAATATGGTGAAAACCTTTCTCCACCTCATGCCTGAAGCAGGTGAAAAATCTGGAATGTTTTATAGAATGGTCTAGTTGGAGAAATTATGAAGTTCGAGAGATTTAAGACATGAGAACAAGCAAAGTGGTATCTTTACTTGCTTCACTTTATGTTTTGGCTCAAGTTATACCGCTTTCACAGGTCAGATTGGAAAACTAAGTATTTTTTTCTGATTAAATCCTTAGTTTGGTTCAACAAACATAAAAATTAACAATTGATATTTGTTAGAAATCTAAGCCTTTATATAAATGTAAACATTATCTGAGAAGGTAGGCATCTTAGCAGTGGCTCCTTTTTAAATATAATACATGAAATATAGATTACGTTTTATGTACCACTGATCTCAACTCAGTAAAGAGAAGACTACGCAGGCCTCCTGTCCTTCCTCACCTGCAAGAAATTCTATTTACAGCTGAAGGTCAGAGAGCTTCTTACCATGCTAGTCTAACTAGGTTCTTCATGTTTGCTTTCTTGTTTTTAGTTTTTTTTGAAATATGCACATGGAAAAGTACATACATCATAAGTGTGCAGCTTGATGAATTATCACCAAGTGAACTGCCTTTGTAACTCGCACTAAGCCAATAAATAGTGCGTAGTCAGCAGTGTTGCAGCCACTATCATGCCTCCTTCTACTCACCAGAATTCCACAAGGGCAACCATTACTGGACTTTTAATAGCATGCATTCTTTTGATCTGGTTTTGAATTGTATATAAGTAGACTTATGTATATTACATGCATGCATACATGCATATATACATACAAAATGTCCTCTTTTGTGTCTGATTTCTTTAGTCACTAGTTCTACCTCTAATTTTGCATTGAGATTTAACTATATCACTTTGTGTAAATATAGCTTGTGTCCCACATGTCTTTTATTTTGGATGTCCCTATCCAACCCAGTGAGTGACTACTTTTTATATTTATGTACTGTGAAGTTAGATATACAGTAGCTCCCTCCTTATCTATGGGGGATATGTTATAAGACCCCTAGTAAATGCCTGAAACTGTAAATAGTACTGAACTCTATACGTATACTAGGTTTTTCCCCTATACTTACATACCTGTGGTAAAGCTTAGTTTATAAATTATGCACAGTACTAAATCAACAGAAATAACTAATAATAAAGTAAAACAATTGACAGTATAGTAAAATTTGTATGAATGTGATCTCTTTACCTTTCTCTAAAAGTATCTTATATACTTTCTTCACCCTTCTTTTTGTGATGATGTGAGATAATACAATCTGTGCCTGGTGTGTTGAAGTGAATTATGTAGGCATTGTGATATATCATGAGGCTACTACATAAAAGTTAACACAAGCACTGCAATGTGATACCTAGCCTGGAAACAGAGATGGCTACTAAGTTCTTACTGGGTGGGTAATGTATATAGTATGGATCCACTGGAAAAAAGGGATGCTTCATATCCTGAACAGAATGGAGTGGAAAGGTGCAAGATTTTGTCACAATAATCACAATTTAAAATTTATGAATCAATATTTCTGGAATTTTCCACTTAATATTTTTGGACCATAGTTGAACTCAAGTAACTGAAACCATGGATAAAGGGCAACTACTGTATTAAGTATGATCATTTCTGGGCATGTTTTCTTCATTACTTAACACTTTGACTAAGATTGCTTTTGGGGGGGCAGTCTTATATTACAACAGCTTATTTTTCTCCAAAATAGATGTAATCCTGTAGGATTATATTGCATCCAGAAATATTGTCCCTTTGGCCGGTTTCACCACCTGCATTCTAGCTTCTGTTACCATACTACACTGACTACCAGCTCTCAGAGGTTGATGGTGATCTCTGGGAAAGCTAGTGGCCTTTCTCTAGTCTCCATCCATCTTGGATTCTTTGGTTAATAATACTCAAACCTATTCAGTGAAATTCTTATACCTTCTGCTGTTTTCATTTCTTTCCCTGTCACCTAACTCTAGCTTTTATCAGCATTTCATTTCCTCCTCCTTTTTGTCTCCTTCTTATTCTTTTTGACGACTCAAAGCAGAAAGCATGTTCTAGCACCCACTGATATAAATGGTATATTTCTTATACCATGGGGTTGTGGATCCAAATTTCTATACCTTGCTCCACATAGTGGAAACTTCATTTTAAAAAAAAGCATATGAATAAGGGCAAAAATCCAGAACAGAGCAGAATTAAACCAACAAAAGAACAAACATAAAACCAAAAATTTCCCCTGGTTTCCTTTTTAATTGTCTTTGTACACCTACAGAGACTGACAGCCAGATGCAGTGGGTAGAGCACTGGATAGTGAATCCAGAGAGGCTGTCCAAATGTCCATCGTGTAGCCTCGAGCACAACCTTTCAGGCTTTCACAGGACTCCTTCAGCTCCCTTGCTTTCTACACTTTCCCTTTTTGAGCTCATTCATTTCCATGGCTTACCTCATCTCAATGTGGACCACTTCCAAACCTACATCTTTAGCCATAACCTCGGTCCAGCTGTATCCTCACCTTTGCAAGCCTCACTGTTACTGTATGCTGAACATGCCTGATGAGTGAAGTTATCTTCCATTCCCAAAGGGATCATCCTAATATCTTTCTCTCTTTCATTACCATTACCAATTTCTAATCTTCTTGGCCTTTTGGAAGGATTTCTTAACAGAGTCCTGTAGATTTATAACCAATGAAGCACAACTTCCTTAGTTGTTCTCCTTAGGTAGCTTATTTCTATCCATTCCTTTCTTTTTCTGCTCCTACAGTCTTAGTCTAGGTCTTTATTCTGCTTTGCCTGGTTCACCACAATAGTCTCCTCTTTGATGTACTGGACTCTATTCTCTATTTTTCTAACCCAGTCTATGAGCTACCTGCTGTGAGATAAATGTCTTTATTTTTCTTCTTATAATAGGGCAATTCAGTCCAAAGTTCATTTTAACAGTTCATCACATAATTTAAGAATGCTGCCACTGTGCCAGATACTGTGCTAGGTTGTAAGACACAGTAGTGAAGAAAACAGACAAAATTCCATTTTTTTGGTGGAACTTATGATCTACTAGAAAGGAGATACATTAAAAAAGAAGTATGGGCTTGATGAGCTTTGCAAGAGAAGTGATATTGAGGAAGAACTGGATGGTCAAGTGTTCCAAGCAGAGGTGGCATCATGGTGAAAACCCTGAAAGCAGGAGTCTGAGCCCTTCCAAGAACACAGAGAAACAGAGGATGGCAAGAAAGGGAGGATGGTTAAGTGTCAATAATGATGTTACAAAGGTAAGGAATGGCCAGCTCTTATGATGATCTTATAAACTATATTAACTATATTAAGGAATCTATATTTTATGGTAGGAGTGATGGAATGTTGGGGGAGTTTAAACAGGGTGATAATGTCATTCTTCTTATTTAAAAATTTTAATAATTTCATACTTCCCTCACTACATGAGTCTAAACTCCCTTGGTATTTGGGGTCCTCCACGGTGTGGTCTTGCTGTGATACTATTGTGTGTTCTATGATTCTCTAAGCTGAATCACTAAGTTCAGGCTTTCTTCTCTTGACTTTTTCTGCATGTGTTCCAAACTTGGGTGGAATTTACAGGAACTGTTATGCATGTTTTGCATCCTTCAGAGTGCTACGTCGATAGTTGATTTTGAATTGCATAGAGATAAGAGATACCATCATGTAATCATGTTTCCTTATCTATTTTAAAATTAAATCATGGATATGAAAAAACTTCCATGTAGATAAATTCTGGATGACATTCATACCATTAAGGTGAAAAAATTAGTAAAATCATAACGTGTTTTTCATATCTGCTTTTCTAGAACTGCTTTTTAAGAAGCCCTGTCTGCTTATAGATTTCATACTTATTCACATTTATTGAGAATAATGAAACATTCCTCTAAAGATTGTCCTAGTGGCCACCACATTCTTGTTTAGTGTTTTAGTGTGGTTGATTCTTAACTGTTTCTTCACTTTTGAACATCCCTTCCTGTTTTGGATTATTTCCTGAATATAGTCTGTAAAGTGGGATGATAGGGTCAAAACACATGAATACTTCTATGGCTCTGTAAACTTTTCTGCATTCAGAAAAATGTGTTGGTTATACAGTCTTGGCTGGTATTATTATTTTTAAAAATAAATGAAAACAGTTTTCTCTTTTTCTTCATACATATGTCTAAAATGGAACTCCATTGTTTTCTTCTCATTTTTTGGAACCAAGGAGAGTGACATGCACTGTGGCTGGTGCTCCTCTATGTGATTTTTATTTGGCAGCACACTTATAGATGTGTAATGACAAGTCAAAGTGGGATTCAAGGGACAGGAAGAGGGAGCATAAACCATGACATGCCAAGAAAGATTACCAGTAGAGAAATCTAATATTTAACAAAGGTAAATGTGTCCATTACTGTTCTCTCATTGCTGAGATAAAATACCCAATGCCCAAAGGTAAGGGAGGAAATGTTTATTTAGTTCAAGTTTGTACAGGTTTCAATCTATAATCAGCTGGCTCCAAGGCAGGGTGGCATGGTGGAGGACAGTACACGGAGGCAGATCATAGCAAAGCAACAAGGGGA